AGACTCCTCATCCTTTTGCTTCCTAGGCATGATGAGAGCAACTTTCTCTGTCTGACTTTTTACCACTGCCATCCAGACCACCAGAGGCCCAAAGCAATAGGTCCAGGTGACCATGGACTACAACCTCCAAAACTGTGAAACAAAATGGTTTTTATTTTAGGTATTTTATTATAGTAACATGAAGCTAATAAATGAATGTATGTTCAACATTTCTTGTCTAGATTTTGTCAGCCTTCCTTTACTTCTTCCCCAAGGCACGCCTCTTGCCTTTCACAATTGGTTGTGAGTATAGTTTATTCCACACCTGTGAACGTGGCTTAATAAACTATAACATTAATATTTCCATCAAGAGCATTTAGTTACTGGCTTTAAAAATCAGACATGTGGGAATTTCTGACAACTTGGAAGGACATTTTCTTACACTTCAGTTCCTGCTTTTGATCCACCTGCTTGTGATCCACCACAGCCTGTTGCGTTAATATTTATTAAACTTCTATGTTTGAAAGCTTTCTGGGCAAAACTAAATATAAAACATTCTTCAGTTTTTACTATGCCATCACTATCCTGAGTTTTGTGGAAAATCTTATCAACATGACAATAGTTTTCACAAATCGAAAGTTACTCATTACAAACTTGACTGTCAAAATAATTTAATGAACTATAAAAACCTGCTAGGGTTGATAGAAAGAAAAAAATGTTAACTATAATGTTAAGCAGTTCACATTTTGGATCATTATTGTAAGCTTAACTTGCCACATATCACAAACCAAGAGCAAAATTTAAAAAGAACACTAAAACTAAGTGCTAACTAGCCACACAATGAAGAGCAATCACAGATTTTTTTTCTCCTGTGCAAATTATTCCCTTTTCCAACTACCTATCAGATCTCATCTGAGTATAACAACACATGATTGGTAAAGCAAGCTTTGCAAGCAATTTTATTTTATTTTTGTTTCTCTGCCGGTACGTACCAGGAATCGAACTCATGACCTCGCGCTTGCCAGGCAGGCGCTGTACCACTGAGCTACATCTCCAGCCCCTGCAAACAATTTTAAACACAGACTTTGGGGGACATTTGGAATTCAGTCTTGCAGGAGGCACATGAACCAATGAGAACCAAAACAATTCAGAGGCACACCTGTTTCTCCGAAGCTGGTAGAATAATGTTGGGTTGAAGAATTATTCTGGAAATAAACACATGAAAAAGGGACCAATTCCCATCAAAACCTGTTTTTATGTTTTGGGTTCTGGAAAATACAAAGCAGAAAAGAGGCTGAAAGGTCTTAGAAGTGCACTTAGTGCACAACCTTGCTGACCTGAGCCCTGTCAGCTGGACCATCACGCTACCCGTAGGACTGATGGTCACTGATGCAGATCTAAAAGCGGTCATCTGATCAGAGTGGACCTGAGCTGTTTAACATCTCTAGGGGGCCAGTCCATTGTAAGTATGCTCTACAACATTCAAGTATTCAACCACGCACAGCGAGGCCACTTAAATAGAACCACATGGTGCTCCATTCACAGGTGCCTTAGACATGGTTGAAATTCTATGCGTACTAGACTTACTTGTTAACTACACCACAGCCTGTTGCAAATATCCACGCCAAAGTTCAGACAAGTCTTAAACAAAATAAACCAACAAAAAACCAGAAGGAAAGCTCCTTACATTTGAATGGTCTGGTATAAATTAAACTCTAGCTGGTAATACAACTATATCCTTGCTCAGCAGACAAAAGCAAATGTATTGTCAACTTGTTTTTCAATCTCTAAAATGGTTTTAAATACATCTTTTAAATGTTTATATTTATTATAGTAGTATGTCTGCATTACATGATGACATCCTCTGTGGAATAGATACCCGTACCTAACACATCTCATTTCCTTTCACCTCCCCGTCCTTCCTACCCCCTTCGCCTCTTGGTCCCTTTCCCACCTGCAAAAGATGTCTCCCTATTTTCCATTTATCTTTTATTTTGAGTTTCTCATGTAAGAGAAACCATGTGATATTTAAGCTTGTGGGTCTGATTTATTCCCCTTAACATTACCGTTTCCATTTTCCTACAAGCAACTCAAGTTCCTCCTCCTTCATGGCAGAGTAATACAGTGCTGTATTCTGTATAAATATCATGTTCTTCATCCATTCGCCTCTAAGCTGCTTCCAAGATTTAGCTGTAATGAACCGCGCAGCTGCAAACACGAGAATGCATGTATCCTTATAATATGATGTCTTTTAACTCTTTCAGGAGGATACCTAGAAAATGAATAGCTCGATTAAACGGATTTTCTAGTTTTACTTTTTTGAGGAATCTTCAACCTGATTTCCATGCTTGTCCTGCCCCAGCCTCACCAGTATTTGTATTTTTCTTAATAGCTATTCTTTCTAGATTAAAATGGATCTCGGTGTTGTTTCAATTTGCATTTCTGTAACCAGAGATGTTTAACATTTTTTTAACGTACTAATTGGCCATTTGTACGTGTTCTGAGAGGTGTCTACTTGTTTCAGTTGCCCATTTTTTGACTGGATCTTTTATGTTGGGGGTGTTTAATTTTTTTTTTTTTTTGAGTTTCTGTATATACTCTAGATTTTAGTTCTCTGAAAAATAGCCAGCAATTACTTTCCCCATTCTCACCAATCTTCAAAAAATCATATGCTTATAAATACAAATCCCGTTTTCTCACTTTTACCACAGCTAAAGAAAAGGCTGTCTTTAGGACTGGAGCTACTTTAAGGGCTGAATTACACTTGCCTTACAACCCCATGATTGGGACACGGTCAGTTTTGCTCCCTTGCAGTCAACCTGACATAATATTTTCCTTTCACTTAATTCCTTTCAGCACCACAAATTCTAGACATAAATCTTATTTTCCTGACTCTTTCCTAGTAAGTCTTAAGCACATGCTACCAAATGCAACTCTCCCTTCGCTCGCCAATAAAACTTAAGAAACTGTATTTAGTGTTGTTCGTCCTTACGTTCCTTGAAATGCCTTCAAGTCTTTAAATTGACAGAACAGCTGTTCACTAAAAATTATTCAGAAATATCAGTGTATTCTCAACTTGTCTATCAGACAAGTTGGCTATATTTACAAAATATTTACATGTAAGTAGAGATAGTTCCTGTTTACATCTTTCAGAAACTAATGGAAACTACCCGGATGTACAATCAAAAGCTCAACCTCATTTCTGCCCAGTACTGAACAGCCAAAGTACGATGACCAAATGCTTGCACAGTGTAGGGTGACGGCCACCACTGAGCAAACCTCATCACACGCATCGGAGGCTGACTCCTCAATGCAAGCTAGCCTTTCTCGGCAGAAATGGGCACAGGATGCTTGCTGGCTTTTATCAACCCCCACATATGTGACAACAGTGAAATCTGTAGCCATGAAATCATTCCACAGTAAACTAGATCTCTCTGGCTTACTCTTTAAAAAAAAAAAAAAAAAAAAAGAGAAGATAAGTTTACAACAGAATTATAATACATGAAAAAGAGCAGCTGAACTGTCAGACCTGCCTTCTTTAAGATCCTCTGAAGTGGTATATGGCAAACCCCAGAAGCACTCAAATATGGCACCTTCACCTATAAAATTAAGAGTGCAGGCTTCATGGTATCCACAGGCCTGTTTGGTTTAATGTGATGGTCTCTAAATGCTTTCTAATTGTGAAATAAGTATTCTAGATTTAAACAATGGAAAGTGTGAGTGGGGCCTAAGCTCCACTGTTACACCTTTATGTCTGTGTACTTCTCAACAATACTGTTTTAGGAATCTGGATATTTATGCTTTAAAAATCCTTAGAATTTAGGTTTTGATGAAAATCCTCACATTTATTAGCACAAGATAAAATTAAGCCATGATATGTCAACCAATACAAGACAAAAATAGTGTTTCATCAGGTTCCTACTGCAATTTGCTACTGTTAAAAAAATCAGTATTTTCTTAGATTTTTACTAGGGCTAGCAATTTTTGTAGTTGTTAAAGAATTCAGAAACTTCAAATTTACTAGAAATCCCCAAATGTACAAATATCTGACTAAACTGTGAATCACCTATAAATTGTTACACTTTACTCACAATAATGATATGACAAGCCTCATGAATTTAGCTAAAAATATTACATCCATATACAATCATCTGTCCATCCATCCATCCATGGCAGACGTTGTTGTAAAGACACACTTTTCAGTATGTTCCTCAAGGCAATGGAGGATACTATATATCATACATACAGATGTAAGGGAGGTCTTAGCATTAGCTGCAACTAATGCTAACAATGTAAGTTCCCTATCATGTTCAAACAACTACTTTACCACATCTTGTTCCAGTGGTTTCCTTAACAAGAATACATACATATATAAAGAAGAGCTAATGAGAGAACACAGTGATTTAGAGCCAAGACGAGAAAGTGTCAATAAAATAAATGTGCAAGGTAAAATTTCCCAATCTTTCCATGAAGGATTTTCTACTGTACTATAAACAGTCTGTATCTTTACAGTCATCTTTTAGGAGGTCCATTCCTAAAGCAGTCATTTCAGGAATCTCTCCCCTGATTAGATAAATATCATGTGACTAGACAATTGTGAGACACATTTCTCTTTAAAAATTCTCCCAAAAGTTAAATACATTCTTAAGTGATCACATTGGTACAACAGAAAGAACTTTTTCAGAACATGCTACTCTGGAAATGTTTCTTAAAAGGAATTCTGTAGCATCTCCTACACTCTGAATTCCGTAACTCAGTTTAATCTTCAGACATCCACTTGTGCCAGGGCCAGTGCAACAGAAAATCTAGTTATCAAAAACTGAGTTTACTGTTTCAAGGAAGCACCATCTTTAACACTCTTTTGTTCACTGTGTTTACTTAACGGCAGGGTCTAACTCTCAGGGCATGCACTCCACAGAACACATCCACCATTATCATCTCTTGCTGTGTACCTTTCACTATTGAGCCCTCTTTTTTTCCTAACCTATTTTATGCTCTTAAGAAAGAAAAACACAGTTTTATTATATTGTTTGGGTCAAATTAATTTTATTATGTTCCATGATGAATTGCCACCAGTGCAACATCCTATTCACTATACATTTCAAAAAAAATTCACATACTAAACAAAATTTCAGTTGATAAATGGAAATGAATGATTGAAAATCTTTATGAATCTCATACATACAGTATGTGGCTAGCTGAAATTGTCTATCACACAGCATTTAGATATAAAAAGCCTCATGCTCATTTGTTAAAGGCAAAGGCTACCAGACAATTATTTAGCTGGAGTATACACAGGAGGCTTTCAGACAATGCCTAGGTAGAGCTGCCCACAGCGCAAGACAGTGGAGGACTGAAACATGCAACCTTACATCTTACTTGGTAAAGCAGATTTAATCTTCATGCCCAGACTGAATTCCACAGTTGTGTTTCAACCAATAGTAATTTAGACTTTATGCAGTAACAACAAAAAGTCTTTTTTTTTTTAAAGAAAAAAGAATAAACTCAATTACCTTGGTAAATTATATATTCATCTTACATGTTGTGCTCCTAACTCAAAGAATTGATATCTTCTACTCAGAGAAGCTTCTAATATACATTTATCTTACCAAAGTTAGCTGAAAAACCCGTAGTTCTTTGGTCCAAAGTTAAGAGATATCTTGTATTGGCATTATCTCAAAGATAACTTAAAATGTTTTTATGATGTCAAGGTAAAAATGCTTTTACATTATTACTTAAAATAAACATATTGTTCTATTTCCCATTTGCACAAATTCTTAATTTTATTGGTCAGTATCTGTTCAGTCTCGTCCACACCAAACTCAGTGAGCTCAAGCCACAATTAAAATGATCATAAGCAGGAAAAGGTTTCTTAGCAGCAAAGGGTACTGTGTTTACAATAAACAAAAGTCGAGAGTCTTTCCCATGTGCTCAAATTACTCCTGCAAGGAGGTAACATTCTTTGAATAACTTAACTACTTTACTGCACCACTTACTGCTTTCAGCAACCAAACCTTTTAAATTATTTTTACGATACCTAGATGAATGATCACTAGAGAGTATGTGATAAACTGGTTAAAATTCAAGCCACATCTTGCAGGTCCAGCCTGTCAAGATCAAGCCAATACTAGATTTTGGTCGGAACAATTCTATATAGCATAATTTTTAGTTGGATATTGTAACTATAGTACTGAAATACATTTGGAACTACATTCTGCATATGACTCAATGTGAGAAAATATGTATTTAAATCAAATAATTTTTTACCTAAAATTTAAAGTAGGTAGGCATGATAATTAGCACTATAAATACGAAACAACCCCTTTAGGCAGATTAGTGTATCGTTCAGAGGCAAGGAACCCCTAATTTAACATACCATTCAGTATGTCTAACAAATGTGCAGGATGCAAAGTTTTATTAAACAAACGAACAAAAAATCTATCAAATCAGTTAAATGTTCAAGACATGTGACACTGGACCATCAATCTTTTTTAAAAAAATGGAACCCTTAACCTGATTTTTGTAAAAACCTTGAGAAACTGCCAAAATAAAAATACACAACATGATAAATTCAGCATTTCAGTGTGTAATTTTGCCAGGAATTTGATTTTTTATGGTTCATACAAGCGAAAAAATAAAAATAATTCCACACCATTTAAATGATGTTCTGATTTAAATAGCATTTTAAAGGAATATTGGAGTAGTTCACGAAGAATAAAACCCAGAAACTTCCAACTTAAATCATTTTTCAGAATAATGCCAATACCTTTTCAAAAAATTTTTGCCTAAAAGAACCTGCCACACTTGCTACAACATAAAAAAAACCTCAGTTGAGTCCAGGTATGTAAGGGTTCCTTGGGATTACAGCCTGCAAACACCTCTGCTGTATCAGGAACAGGTAATATTGCTAGAAGAGGTGTGTTATGATTTTCCTCATTAGTATCTCTGTAACCGTGACTCTATGAAAAGCATATTGCTAAAATTTGAAAAATTGTATCAATGTAGTGTCTACAGAACTGTGCAATGTGTTGGCTTCGATATTCACATGTAGCACTGTATTCGAAATGAAGGGGCTAAAGAAACTAAAGTTACATCACTTACAAAAGAATGTAGTGCTATACTAGATTTCAATAAGAAAATTTAGGTACAGAAAAAGTAGGGTATGAAAATAGTGTTTTCCTTCTGGCATTATAACTAAATTACATTAAGGTTTTTGTCAGTCTCACACATAATATTTAAACTCCCTTGTTGATGGAATGAAATATATTCACAAATCAGGTGAGCATCCTGGTGTAAACTTGCACACAGTCACAGGGAGTACAGCTTTGTAGAGTATTACGACAAACCTTTACAGATTAAATGAGGTATTGCACAGATTAATAAAAAAAGCAAAAAAGGCAACAAAAATATACAGCAAATTGGTAGAACATTTACATGGTAATTTTACAGAATTCATAGACAGAAAGTAGTGTTTAGTATTTCACCTTAAAAATATATATATAATATATAGCTCAGTCTTCCCATTCATCATCATCCTCAAAATCTTCTTCATCATCTTCATCTTCATCTTCATCTAGAAGAATATCAAGATAAATAATTAAACATGCTAAGATGACATTACATAAATCTTGGGTGATTTTCTTTTTGGCTCGTGAAGCAGAAACTATTTAATTTCCAGAGAAATCTAGTTACTATGATAGTTCAAAATATAAAAAAATACATCTAAAATGTGTTATGGTTAAGTGAAGGTTAGAATAGGAGTTCCAAGATCTGGCTGTCCCATAGCTGTATGTAACACATTTTTAATCTATGTGTTCTTTTTCATTTTTACTGCATGTGGTTTTTTTCAGTACTGGGTTTCATGCATGCCAGATAAGCTCTCTACTATTAAACCACATCCTAAGCCTACCCTACGTGCTTTTTTAAACTACATTTGGGACAGTCTTTCTGAATTTCAGACTTGCACGTTATCAATTCAACTGCCTTCTTTTACTCTTCACACAGATTTTCAAACTCAAAACTTATCAAGTATTTTCTTCTTCTTAACCTTCTTCCTCTGCTTCCACTCTATTTGGCCTCTCTTTCTTTTCTTTTTTTTTTTTTTTTTTTGGTGTTTTTGAGACAGGGTCTAGCTATGCAGTTCAGGCTGGCCTTGAAGCTCACTTTGTAGCCCAGGCTGGTCTCGAACTCAACAATGATCCTCCTGCCTCAGCCTCTCCAGTGCTGGGATTACAGGCATGTGTCACCACACCCAGCTTGACTCTATCTCAATTACTGGCACCACTAACTTAGCAAGAAATTATGCCAAAAACCCTACAAATTATTAATGACTCCTTTGTGACCACCCAATCATCAAATCTGCTCCTGCCTACCACTTGCACTGCCACTTCCCAGGCCACCATAGTATCTTGCTCAGATTATAGGAACTCTGTAGCCCTTTTGTGAAAGCAAACAGTAGTATTATTTACATTCTAAATTTTTTTTGTGGCTAGTCTGCTAAAGGCTTCCTGTTGTCTGTGACCTCATTCTCAAAGATCGTACATGATTCACCAAATCATTGTTTCTCCCCATCCTTTTATTACATGATGTCCTGTTTGGATTCAAGCCTCCTTCTATTCTAGAAATGTGCCAACCTTACTCCTGCATTAGTTTTCAAAGTAGCTGTTTTTCTGTCTGACTGAACCTTCTCTCCTCTTTATTTCTACTCAAAAACAATGTCCACAGAGGCGTTTCCTGACCATCGCACGTGAAGACCTTTTCTTGTAACATCACTGCCTGAAAACCTCCTACTCTCTGCAGATGCTTGGTCTTCACACCGAACTCTCTGAAAGCAGCCGCTCTGCCTGTCTTTGGCACTGTGCCCTCAGCACCAGGACACTGCTCCACAGAGGGTGCTCACTCAGTACTTGCTAAATGAATATTCAATGCCATCAAATTCTATGAGCACACATCTTCAGTTTATCAACTTTTCACAACTGCTAACTAACCCTGTAAACATCTGCCTGCCTGCCTGTTTATGACACACACGCATGGGATAGATGTACAGAACATGGAGCATCTGTTTTCTTCTACCCTCTCCTCCATGAAAAATATTTTTAAGGAAAGGATGTATACAGAAGTACTTATGCTCTGGTGTAAGGACACTGAAATTAACAGAGGCTAGAAAGTAATGACGGTATCTTCCTTTGGTCCACAAACTAAGTTATTTCTTTCATAATAATAATCTTTATTTAACTAACACTAATGATCAGCACTAAATTACCAGAGAATTTATGTGGAAAGGCATTTAACTGACTGCATGTTACCTTCTGTGCTTCGCTTTCTGCTACCCAAAGCTTCTACTAAATATGCTTCAAAAGTTTACCTGGATGAAAGCACCAAGTACACCAAACCACGCATTTATAGACCACCTAAAGACAAGGACTACAAGCCCCCACTCCCACTGCTGAGATGGAGAAAGCAGCTAACACGCTAACCTCACACACTACACACAGGAAGTACAGTCACAAGAAATTAATCCAAAAATAAAGAAATAAAACATCATGACCCCATCCGGTAAGACAAAATAAATGCTTTCTTAGGGTCACGTTTCACAGAGACTTGGAATTTCTTTTTTCCTTGCCACAGAATCAGGATCAATCTATTTGATACTAGCAGCTTTTAAAATTCTCAAGTAATTTCTATATCTAAAGTGATCTGTTTAATTTTCTTTTCCTGTGCAGCTTGAACTTCACACTGGCAGTCAACTGAGTATGTCTCTATCGCCTCAATTAGAATGTTTACCTCTTGCCGCTGTAAGCTCTCTATGCCTGCTCTTACCAATGTTCTCCTATGTACCACCAGATATATCCCTTTTCTGATGTACTGATGAATGGCCCACTGTTCCTGCCTTCACATATCATGAACGTGTGACAACAGAAAAGTGAGACCACCTACTGATGTCAAACTGTTGCAGAATGTATGGGAGCAAGGACATAACAACAGCTTATAAACAGTTATCGATTTACAAAATCTGCTGATGACAATAAAATAAGGCAGCAGATAAATGTTTTCCTACACAAGTTTCCAGAGAAATAATAAAATTTAGGAAAGCAAAGGCCCTTTAATGAATATCTTTAAAAAAAAGGAAGCAAAAACCCCCCATATTTTTCAGCCTTCAATTCCAGCTCTACATCCAAGAGATAATTATTTTCTTGCACCCAGAGACTGTACCTACTGCAGAATCTACAGCACAGTCCCTGCTCCTTAACTTTCATCTCAGAAACATCTGACCCAGGTGAGCACAGCCCTCTTTCAAAAATCTGCTTCACCTGGATTCTATATTCCGGTCCTCGGATCTCATTAGACCTCTTCCCTAAACCGACTTGCTCGCATCTCGTTCTGAAACCTTGAGCACCATGTGCTACGCACAGCCTGCTGACCCGCAGATTTACACCACTGGCATCTCCCAGGAATTCCAGATACACGACCAACATATACATTTGATAGGTATATCAAGTTTAATAGGTATGAAAACCAAACTCCTAGTTTTTCAAACTTGCTCCTATCTGTTAAGGAAATTTACCCTCCTGACTGCTCAGGTTAAAAACCTGGGAGTCATCCTTCACTCCTCATCCTTTCAAACCTCGCTTCCAATCCATCACCGATGCCAATGATCATATTCAAAGTACACCTAAGCCCTTCTCACTGGCACTGTACATCTAGTTCAAGCCTCCACAGCCTCCTGCTCAAGTCATAGCCACTGCTCTACTTAAAACCTGCCAGCTGCTTCCATCACATTACATCAGAAGGCAGGGTCTTCAAAGCCTGACTAATGGCGCCCACTTCGTTCCTTTCTACCTTCTCTAGCCCAGCCACACAGGCACCCTCATTACTCCTCAACCCAAGTACTGTGTCACTCCTTGGATCCCTTCTGGTCTTCTCTCAAATATCACTTTACTTAGGCTTATTATTCCATTCCAAACAGAACCTCCCTCCCACAGCTTGTAATTAATCAATTCCCTCTGTCCCTTTTCTGATAAGCTTTTGTCCTTAGGACCTATTTAATATATTCTAACCACCCCCTTACTCCAGAAAGGCAGGAACTTTTGTTGTTTGGTTAAAATCTTAGCATTATTCCACAACAAATAATTACGGAATGAAGTAGTCTAGTCTCTCTCTCTGTAATGTAATATAGGAATAAATATGCCCACATAAGAAAAACAAATGTTGCCCAAGTACCTTAACATATCATGTTCTAGCTGTGTGCACATGCCTGTAATCCCAGCTACCTGGGAGGCTGAGGCAGAAGGATAACCAGTTTGAGGCCTACTTGGGAAATACTGCAAGACTCTGTCTCAAAATGAAATTTTAAAAAGGGTTGGGTGTATAGTTCAGTGGTATAGTATTTGCCTAGTATGCACAAAGCCTTGGGTTCAATCCTCAGCACACATTCCCTCAAAAGACACTGAGGTCCCTATAAAGAAAAGGAAAATAACATTTATTGAGTACCTACTATGTGTTAGGCAATCTGATGAGTAAATACTATTTTAATCTTACATAGTCATATATGTGAATTCTCTCCATGTAACGAAAACTTGAAATTAAATTGCAGTTGTAATAAAAACAAAGTTATGATTCTAGCACATCACGCCAGAGCACTTCAGTAGACCCCAACCACATCAATCAGCCAAATCCATCCTACTGCCTTTTTAAAGGGGCAATGTTCATTTATATGGTGGTATGTGTATGTTTAAACCTTTTAAGCAATGACAAAAGATGGAGGGCTCAAGAATGTATTCTTTAGTGAATCCCAGCCTCAGTGGAATCACCAAATTTTTCAGCATTAACCCTCAACAGATCAGAGAAACTCTCAGAATTCATGTCTTCAAAATATCATACAAAGAAGATCCAGAAATCCCAAGCCACTTCCAGAGGTTGCTTGCCAGGAATTCTACTAGTATTTGTCACCACTGGAAACAAAACTACCATTCTTCCAAAGCTGTTTTTCCAGTATTCTGTTATGGCTGTGGCTCCTGGGCATCCATTAAGTTTTAGAAAGACCAGTCATACAGACAATAATTGCTTTGAATATTGCCTAGAACCTGTCTTAGTAACTTACTCAATTAGCACCCAAAAAAGCTACTAATTATAAAAATAAAAATAGCAGAACTTCAAACATCCAAATTTATTTCACATCCACACACTCTCACACACAGGCAAAAAGGGTACCTGAAGAGTGAATGGCTTTGCTCCTCTTCTGCATCACTTCCATCAGCGCACCCACAATCCCTGAGGTGGGTGCAGGTGTCGGCGGGGCAGACTCTTGGCCGTCAGACACCTCGCGAAAGAAAGTTATGGAAACTCAGTTACAGGCTGGAGATGCAGCTTACTGGTAGAGCGCTTCCTAGCAAGTGCAACACCTTGGGTTCAATTCCCAGCACCACAAAGACACACACAGAAACTTAAATACATATCTTTGCAAAGAGGTTCTCTCCTCAGAATGTGTTACTGTTTTAGAATGACTTCTTATTTTAAAAGAAAATACAGAAAAAAAAGCAGGGACATCTGAAGGCCAGGACATGATTAACTAAATGAAGAAGCAAACTACTACTTTAAAGAACTGTCCAAGAACTACTTCCTTTCCTTCAAAATGTCATTAATACACACATAATACCTAACACATCTCTGAAGCAGTGACTACACTTACATTGTAACTAAACTCCTCCTTGAACAATACTTGCCCACTGAACCTGGGTTACTTCTGTTCAGCTGAACATACAAACCGTGAGATGTTAAAATTTAAAACTACTATCACGAGCCTGGGGCAATACTTAGATTCCTACACTTACTAGGTGGGGGCCACGTTCAGCTATCTACGAGCAAAAGCAGAAATTCATGTTTTACAAGAGAAACTCAGCTGTCCACGTGCATGCTGTGCCCGTATGTTATGTAAGCTATGATTAACGTGTGTATAGAATATTTCAAAAGGAACCTCCCTTCTCGTGGCGTATCACTTCTCTTTCAGGAGACTGAGAAGCTTTTAAATGCACCCATCTCACAAGTCAAATAACTATTCCTAATAGAAATATCTCATCCAAGTATATTCAGAAAAAAAATTACCACTTTCATTAAAATTGACTTTTCCAGAATAGTACACTGAAAAATTATCTGTCTTCCCAATATACATACTGAAAAAGGAATATAGGCAAACTATTCAGAAAAAAATACAATTTTAAATGTACTGCTTTGAGTGCTTGAAACATGGAGTCATTCCTGTATATTCACAGTTATATTTGACTGTACTTATCCACATAAATGTATATTGGTATAATTAAAGATGAAAAGTATACCTGTGCTAAATAGTCATACAAGATTTTAAACATATATTTTTATTTATGTAAAATTCTAAATCATTTCCTGAAGAGAATCCTCTTATTAAGACAACTCTAGCCCTAAGCTGCTTGTCTGTTTGGACTAAAGACCTTTTCCTTTAAAAAAAAAATAGTGATACCTGGGTTCACCAAATTAATTCTTTCCATGATTCTGGTCACAAACCAAATTCTAGTCCATGAGCTGAGGTGCTACTGTATTCGCAAGACACAGATCCATCCATTAGCAATTAGGTTTTACAGACCAGTAGGTTTTATGTAACTATTATTGTAGAGACAAGTAGGCCTTATGTAACACCATTATTAGTAAACAAGCACCAGAAGCAGAGAGGGTAACAGAAAGTTTCAGAGCTTTGTACTTTTGCATGGGGCTCTAACAGCAGCCAGGCTACCTTTTAGCATCTGGTAATACAAAGCAGAGAGCACAAAGGAAGGACACAGAATTATCCTCAAACATACATTTTTAGTACAGTATTTACTTGGACAAGGCTACTTGAGATACGATACACATGGAATTCAAAACATATGTAAGTGCATACTTATATAATTCCCACCAGTTCTTTAATTAAATCTCTAATTTCATGTTAGTCATATTCATCACAGAATGAACTGATGATATACAAAGAAAATTTAAAGAAATACAGAAAAATTTCAGATCAGATGTATAATCTGCCAATAATTTACTGGTAAAACACTGAATGCACCCAAAAGGAAAGTGACTGGGGTAATAATGGTTTAGTATTTTACACTGAGGATAGAAAGTATTTTTCTCTCTAGAAGAAATTTAAAAGCCAATTCACAAGTTGTTTCTCCTGGGGAAAAGGAGAAGGGGCAGAATGGAAAGACATGAGCACAATAAACGACAGCCCAAGGGTATTTCAAATCTAGTGTATCCCATTTTAAAAAATAGCTTGAATGTTAAAAGCCAGTTTTATATTTTTAAATGGCTGAAAGAAAAAAGAGGAGCATTTGTAACCTGTGTAAATCACAAGTAACTCAAATTTCAGTGTCGAAAATAAACTTCATATAACACCGTGCCCGTTCACTCATTTATGTACTCTTGGTGGCCACTTTAGAGGTAGAATGGCAGACCTGATTAATAATGGCAAGAGTCTCATGACCTCTAAGCCTAAATATTTACTATCAGGTCCTTTATAAAAAAAGTTTGTCAACTGCTGGAAGATTAAATGACCTGTAGTATTAAATGATCATCTTGCTGGGTATGGTGGCACACACCTGTAATCCCAGTACTAAGGAGGCTGAGGTAGGAGGATCATTGTGAGTTCAAGACCAGCCTGGGTTACACAGCAAGCTCAAGGCCAACCTGAATTGCATAGTGGGACCCTGTCTCAAAAGGATAATCTATCAATCAATAAATAAATGATCATCTTGTCTGATTCAGAAAATCCAAAACTGTCTGCCGTTACTGTCAGTAACTCTATTAGAAGTATTAATTTTCTGTGCAGACTGATTCTCTACTACCCTAAATTTCAGTATATAAACACTTTAAAATATGATTTAATTTTCATAGTTACTGGATATGGATTTACCGAGGGGACCCCAATCGGATTGAACTAGGGCTGTTTTAAATTATCTATAGTTTAATAAGAATTTACTTAAAAGTAGAGTTCAGAAGAATGAATTGCAACATACTACATAACTCCATTTATGTGAAGTTCTAGAACAGGCAAAACTAATCTGTGAATCAGATCAATGATTGTTTTGGGAGGAACTAACTAGGAAGACACATAAAGCAATTTTCTGGGGTGATGGACTATTCTACACTTTGATATAAAAGTACGGATTACACAGCTATAGGAAAAAATTCACTGATTGTATGCAAAGATATGTAAAAGTTCACAGGGTTAAAAACTGAATGTAAGTACCAGAAAAGATAAAACAATAACCTTTTCAAAGATGCCTTATGAATTACTTCAAAATTTTATTCTGCTAGAAGATCTACAATGAAAGGTCACGTTACTTACAGATTTCAGTTGAATACCCTGTCGTATCTGGTCTAAAAGTGCATCCCTTCCAGAGCAGGACACCGGTCGACTGTTCTGTTCCACTTTTTTTAGCTGAGCACCCTCTCTGATTTGATCTAAAAGAGCTGCTTTGCTTCCTGCTGGTGGTGGAACTTGATGGTCCCCATCAGATGGGAGGCCAGGGGGAGGTGGTGGCCCAGGTGGAGGCGGAGGTGGAGGCGGTAGGGGTGGTACCACTGACCCTGTTGTCACCGAAAGAGGTGGAGGTGGTGGTGGAGGCCCTGAAGGTGCTGAGGAGGGAAGGGCTGGAGGTGGAGGAGGATACATCCTGTTTGGCGGTGGTGGTGGGATACCCACTCCGGGTCTGGAAGGGGGTGGTGGAGGTGCAGCGGTAGGAGCTCTTGAAGGTGGTGGAGGAGGAGCACCTCTTCCTCTGGCAGGGGGAGGAGGAGGCCCTGAACTGTGTGGAGGGGGGGGAGGGGGAGGAGGGCCACCTCGTGATGGTGGTGGAGGTGGTGGTGCTGAAATCAAACAGAAAAAAAAAAATGAAAGCATCCATTTTTTGTCCCCATAAACGTCATACTAATAAAGTAACTTAACATGCCCAAAACACAAAGAAACAAAAAATAAGACCACGCAGAAAGGTCTCATTTTGCATTTTATTTACAAACATTAGCTGAACACTCACATTTTGTCATTTTATTTGGATATAAATACTAGCTTAAAGATCACCTTCCTGTTGTTTCCTGAAAAATACACTTAAAACAACAGAATACAATGTCTGGGGTTCAGTATCAGTTCTGACAGTAAGAGCAATAAACGTTTCAACCTTACATAGCAACAGCAACATAATAAAATTAAACATTTTATTTCATAAGCATTACTTTATATTTTAATAAAAATTAATGAATATCTTCCCTTTTTAAAGAATCTAATACATTTAGGTTTTAAAAAATATAAAATCAATTAAAATTCAAATTTTACAGTGTGGGCATAATCTATTAGAATTTATTCACATTAAACCTTAACCTAAACTGAGTGTAGGGGCACATGCAGGTAATCCCAGCACTTGGGAGGTTGGGGCTGGAGGACCCGTGAGTTCAAGGCCAGTCTGGGCTACAAAGTGAGTTCAAGGCCAGCCTGAACTATATAGTGAGGCCTTGTTTCAAAACACCAAATTCAATCAATTTCATCCTAAATCCAAATGTAAATCTTTAAAAAAAAAATGTAATCCTATAATTTACGTGTTCTTTAAGAATATGACATTCTACATTTCTAAAAGTGGTCAGCAATTGTGAAAGTGGTATTAAGGGAGGTTGGATGCTCAATGGAAATGTTAAATTACTTACTTAGGAGATATGAACCGATTACTGACAAATTAAGAATTTGTATAAATGCAAAATTAAACTAGTTACCATTATTCTTCTAGTATTGATATTTACATTCTTATTCTACTTATATGAAAATATAATAGAAAAACAAATCCAAAAGTATAGCAACATCAGACTGTATGAGGGAATGTGAATAAAACCTTAAAAGTTAAATTTTATTTTTATTTTTTTTCTGGAGACATGATTTTTGCCAACAATACACAAATTTGTGCAATAACATCATTTCTCCATTCAGAAAATGATCAGAAGAATTAAAATTTTAGGAGCAGAGATATATTAGTATCCTATAGCTGTTTCTATTTATCTATACAGAATAGGAGGTACTGAGGAATATTCTTACCCAATATGTTCACAGTTTAAAATACCTAACTTAATTACAAATATCAACAGGCTTAGATGCTCAGGAATTCAATGACATGAAAGAGGAAAAACTTTAAAGGGAATAAAATGTGTCTTTTGATTTCATCTGGGACAATCAAGGGGATCATGTTATTGAAAAATTACAGTCAAACTTAATAAAAAAACACTGAATGAAACAAAGCTCACAGGGCCTTGTTTTGGGGATTCATATTTTTCAAACTGCAGATTACATATAGCTGCAAGCAGAACAGTTACCTTACACACATGTGATCATGGTGGGAGACTCCTGTGTCTCACTCAAGTTACACTAAAGGTCAGGATGCTACAGCTAAGGCTCACCCAATTTTCTAACTGGACTTAAAGAAAGGAGGCTTAGAACCTGCCAAAGGTAGAGGTGTTTTCTAACATATTTTCCATTAAAGGGGAAAATGGGAGAACAGCATATAATAATGTACATGTTGCATAAGAGTGTATCAGACCCTTCAAAGAGATACAAATTTAATTTTAATCGGTTTTAGGTCTGTATTTCAAGTTGCAATAATATTTACCTAAATTGGCAGGATTTATCATTTGCTTATCTCTTATTCATAAGGAAAGGAACCTGGATGACTTTACTATTTTATTATCTTACTCTAAATTCTAACTAAATTATGCCATACTATAAAATTTCAATTTTAATTTATTTTATATTTTAAAAGCCAAAGTGCACTTGATTCTTTATTTTACTATTATATTACCCAGTTTATAAAGTATTAAATAAAAAATATTTTTCATGATTTCATCAAGAAGTTTGGACTTAAAGCTCTTTTGAACCTGCAATAAAAGTACATTGATTGGTATAATTTGGAGTCCAGGTAACACCCATCAAAACAGACATTCAATCATTGTTTAGAGAAAGGAGAACCTTATTGTGTAATGAATAAACCATCAGTTGAATACAATTGGAGTGTAGCAAATTTTTATTATCTTGAAAAGTGATGGCAAATTTTCTGTATTTTCTTAAAACACCTATTATAGCAACTTTCTGTTTTAATAGTCTGCATTATATCTACACAAAAAGGAAAAGTATGTAAAACTAAAAAATATAACCCATGGTAAAAATATGAAAGAACTGAGGCAGGAAAGGACAGACAGATAATGCACTATTAATGAGATTTACATGCATATTTGAACCAAACACCACATACCACTTGGAGAAACTCTGATAGGAATTTTCAAAACTTTCAAGTCACCACAAACACCAGACAGTGACAACAGGGTTGGGATTTAAAACAGAGAGAAAGCAAGCAAACACACAAAGAGGAAAGCACGAAACAAAAGTCAACCAATGAAAACTGCTCTCACTGTCAAATTTAAACTTAAGACGTCAGCTAACAGAAACAAAAAAGAAAACGCTGTCTTAATGGCACCCTACAAAGAAACATTGAAAAACTTAAAAAATGATCCCTTCAGATCAGTATTAGGAATATGAATAGACAATTCTCTGGTATTTATAGGAACTAAAAGAAGAAATTCCACCATCATTTAGGTTTAAAAGAAAAACAGAGGCTTGGGATGTAGCTCACTGGCAGAGCACCTGCCTACCAAAAACGCACACGGCCTGAGCAGCAAACAACAACAAGGGCTACTGAGGAATTCAGAAAACACTTAAGAATTGATGTCATGGACTCTCATCAAGATGCTGTTTTTTTTTTTTTTTCCAGTACCAGGATTCAAACTCACAACCTCGTGCTTGCCAGGCAGGCGTTGTGCCACTGAGCTAAATCCCCAGCCCCTCTCATCAAGATAAAACAGGAAAATTTTAACACAAATTTTAATTTACAGGAACATTACCAATTTCCTAAGTATTTTAAAGTTGTGTGTTTAAGTTTAGCTCCTGTCCCTAACTCAAATTAATATAAAAATATAAATGTATTTCATTCAGGCTAGCAGTTACTTAGTAGTAATATAAACAACAGGGGCCTGAGGGCAAGAGATATGTTTTTGGTATCGGGAATCAAATTCACAACCTTGAACTTGCCACGCAGGTGCTGTGCCGCTCAGCTATATCCAGGCCCAGGAAGTATGTATGTATGTAGGCATTATGTATTTATTTTGGTACCGGGAATTGAACTCAAGACCTTGCGCTTGCCAGGCAGGTGCTGTGCTGCTGAGCTATATCCCCGGCAGTATTTTTTCTTTTAATATATAGAACTTCAATAAAATTATCTAAACTGCAGACAAAAAATGTGCTCTGACTCACGCAGAAATAAACTTTTTCTAAGCATGTACATGGCTAAAACATTGGTTTGAGTGTATGGCAAAAAACTCCACTGGAAGCATACTTCAAAGTAGGACATATAACCTTTCCTCTAAATCAACACAGCACAACATGCATACTCGAGCACTGGGTCAGATCTACCCCACATACATACCACTCCACTGCGGTGGGCCTACAGAAGAGATTATTACCAGTTAATGGACTTCAAACAATTACACACACACAAAGAGACATGGTAGAAACTACAAGTCTATCTGTTTTTATAAATTTCATTACATGACTACAAAGGAACTGTCAGGCAGTGAGATTTAATTCAGTAGGTTTTTACACAGCATATTGCCAAGGCAACTTAACTTCTTTTCAGATTTGTGTGAAATATTAACTTACATTATGCACTCTATGGATACAAATTTTAGTAAATTGTTAATTTGCCTTGTTACTCTTTCTTCAAGAAGTGTTCTACATTAAAATCATTCTTTGGTGTCGAAAGGTTCCACACTGAAAGTTAGGTTCTTGAATATAATCACAATTTTTACACCTTATACTTTGTTCCCAAAGCACGTTTTTAATGACTGTGACTTTTTTAAAGGTAATTCAATTAACAAAAGACCACGCCTAACTGTTTTTAAAGAGTGTACAATAAAAAGCAGTGATAATAATAAAGATTTTTTTAAGAAAAAAACAAAAGAACAAACAAAAAAACAACTCCAATCCAGAAAATGTAATGAACCTTCCATTATAGGTATTCAGGTGAAAGTGCACCTGCAGGGCTGACTCAATAAAGTCAAGAGTAATTCATGACATAGATTCAAAGAGCTGAGCCACCGTCAGCATCACTGGCAGTGTACGGGGAGGCGGGTGGCAGGGCGGGGAAAGGCTCTGAGGAGCGCACGAGCATTCTCAGTACCTCTGTCACTGCACACTGCGACCCACCCAGAGCGCTGAGAAACAACCCCCGCACTGTGCCCGTACGGCTTTTTAAATTCAAAGGACCTGAAAGTACAATCTGTCTGCAAGCAATTTAACACCATGCTGGTTTCAGTGGAACTAGCACTGTGTTTCCACAACAGCAAAGTTACTTTAGTATAAATTGAAAGGTTGTATTTATTGTAATAAAAATGTTATATTAAATTGTTATATAAAGATTTATACATACTGTTTCCATTGTAGACTTTAAGATTTATGAGGGAAAAACCATATGTGTACATTTAAATATCCTGAGAGCCGTACTGGAATAGCATCATTTATTGACTACATGAAGAATGAATCAATATATCACAGACTGAATAAACACCAACAGTGACGAAGACACAATGGAGTCAAAAGCTGACTTAAAAGATGAATTCTGCCCTGAAAAATGTACCGTATTCTGCTATAATAACTGCTAAGATACAACTAAAATACAAGGTATTTTAAATATAAGATCGTAAGAAGTTGAAAACTCTGCTCTCAGGAACCAAAATAAAATTTGGTATTTTTCCAAGAGGACACTTTGTATTTCAGAATTAGAGAGTGACCATATTTAAACTACTAGTTCTGAATTACAACATAAACCACTGTAACGGTGTGGTGGTTTCTAAGATTAACTGAAATATTTAGGTAACCGTAATTCTTTACTCTAAAATAGAACAGCTGGAAGATTCTATATGGATTTTCACAAATATAAAATTTTTATAATAATAAAAGCAGTAATTACAACCTTTCAATTTATACCAGAACAACATAAATAGTATGATAGGCCAAATTTAAATATTCTGCTCAAGGAAGGCTCATAGAATGTATAAAGCCATCTGTCATAACATTGATTTCACCAAGTTCAGAAGAAAAGAAGAGAGACTCATGTGCTCAAACAGAATGAGTTACCTTGCCTTCGTAGTTCATTTTTAACAGCTTCCACACCTCCTGTTTTTTCAATGAAGTCATATATAACTTTTGATGTTTCTCTGTCTTTAAGCTGTGCCTCTGAGATGCCACACATGTCAAAAAGATTCTTCAATTCTGGATCCAAATTATTCAGCTACGACAGACAAAATAACTGGTAACTATCCATTATAATTCTTTAAAAATAAGTATGATAAAATGTAGTACTTAGCTGAGTCCTTATGAAATTACTTTAAGTTTATAAACTTTCAAATGGTTACATAATTTAAATAAATTTTTTTAATCATTTAACAGTTTACCCTGAGCATCACTAGGACAGAGTCTCTGATTATGTACTAACTATTCCAAGTGTTGCTTGGGCAGGTATCATTTCAACCAGCTGATTCTTGCACTGAATTAATTTGATAAAACTGTCATATTTGTATTTCCTGTTGTATTACCTTATGAAAATGAATGAAATAAGCATGCAATTTTCGGTCATCCTGTACTTAAATAATTGGATTGGTAAGTGGTTAATAAAAAGCCTTAGCAGTAGAGAAGAAAATGGATTTTTTGTATTTTATCCCATCTTTTTAGTCTGTACTCAAAAAGACTAAGTCCCATTTAGATTTCTCCTAACCCATTCATGATTAGGGTACCTCCAGTGTTTATTTTATCTTGTCCTAGATTTAGGTATAATTATGAATAAACACAAAAAAAATAATTTAATTTGCAAATTTATGGGGAAAGACCTTTTTGTAACCAAATCCCTTGCTACAGTGCCAACACAAAGAGGTACTGAATACGTTTGTAGAGTTATCACGGTAGTTACATAACCCAAAGGATTGTGGATGCCAATCATAATAATTTTTCTTTAAAATATTTCACAAAAATTTGGTAGATAAATTCACTTAAAATTTTCAGCTAGCAGAAATAGCTCCTCTTGGCTTTCCAAGCACAATATTTTATTTATTGAGTATAGGACAAAAGACTTTGTCCTAAAACTTAGCAATAACAGAACAATCCTGTGGTTGCAAACCCTGTACTATACCCACATAAACACAAGCACATTCAAATAAGCTGCAGAATTCAGAAAGAAAAATTCAAAGAAAGAAGAAAAAGGATGGACAGACAGGCAAGAGAGAGAATAATAACAAAATCTAAAGACAGTTCATAATACCCCATATATTTTGAGTACTAATAAATATGGCTTCAAAAGATACTTACATCAAAGCCTGTATTTGGATCCCACCCAACATGTCCAATGTGTCTAAAATAGAAAATTAAAAAAAATAGAAAAATAAAATGCAAAAAGTGTATTTAAAGCATACTATGTATGAAATCTAATCTATCTTTGAATTTCTGTATTGAACTAATATGTACTTCTCACAGGCATAACCACATTTTGGGAAAAACTATACACAAGGAGTCAAGAGACCTGAATTCCAGCCTTGGCCCTGGTAGTATATGAAGAAAATCTTCACAGTCTCTCTGAACATCAATTTCTCTAACTATCTAATTAGTATAAAAGTACAAGTGTTATACATGATAGAATAGGCGTTTTATGATAAGCTAATAAAATCTGCATATGGAACTGTTTGAAATATATGAATACCAAACACGTTCTTTTTGGCCTCTTGACAATGTTTATACACATTTCCAAGTACAATTTATAGATCAACATGAGAAATCATTTTTATGTCTAACACCTGAATAAACAACTTGAATTTTTCTTTTCTAGTGAGTAAAAACAGTAATATCAATGGAGCAATTGTCAAAATAAAATCTCCAACAAAATCTATAGCTTTGAAAAAGTACAATGTAAGCATCCTTCCCAAAAGAAAACAAAGGTTCCTAAAGTAAAAAATCAAGAGCAGCAATGAATACATCAAAGTAAAGATAAGAACAAACAGTCTTACTGGAAATTGCTTGGTGTTCCAATATCTGCCTTGGTTAATCTCTTCTTTTTAGCTTTTCCTTTCTTCTTTTCTTTGGTATGGGAGATATTGTTGACTTGCGGACCATAAAACCTATTTGTTGTGATTTCTGGATTTTTTATGTCTACTGTAGCCATGGGCAGATTAGGACCTACAAATAAAGCCAAAATAATATGAAAAAGATGTAATTTAAGAAAATAATTATACACAATTCTTATTTTGAGATCATCTTTTTCTAAAGTAGAATCACTTCATTACCATAAATTAAAATTTAAGCCTGCATATTGATACTGTCTAAATAATAAAGTACTGGCTACATTCCTAAAGCCCTTAAACTTAAAAACCCTACCAAAGGTGCATTATTTTAAATCACACTTGTATTTTTACAAATTTAAATCTCATGAAGAACATGAACTTTGACAGAAATTAATTAATCCGATCCTTTCTTAAATTCTGACCATAATTCCTTCATACCCAACATACTGCTTGCTGGTAAAATGGTATTTTATACAACACGTAACAGTGAGAATGAAGATAGTAACAGAAGTACCCACTTTGTTTTAAATTTAACGAAGATATCTAGTCTCCTGTTTAATTTCACCTTTATTAGTCTATGAGAGAAAAAGTACTTCTAAAATTATTATTACCATTTTCCCCAAACCATGATATCTAAGTTCACTATTATCTTCCCCCCAGCAAATGTGTATGCATACATACATGCACATACAGCCTTGGACTGTGAGCAGCAGACACCCTACTGAAACTGGAAACACTCTTAAAGTACATATCTTCTGCGAGATTCAATGGTAAAAATATCTCAGGCACTTTTGGATATCACTGATAGCATCTTCTTTTTTTTTATCATTATTTTAAAGAGTAAAAGAAGGTTAACATAGTAATAAGGAGGCTTACCAAATTACAAAGTGGTAGGAAGTTATCAATGGTTGTTGTTTTATATATTGTTATCTACAAGATAGTTTCTCAGGAAAACAGACAAATAATAGTGAGCTACTGACAAAAGTGGTAGGTTATTATCAATGGTTGTTGTACTATACTTTGGTATCTTCAAAGCAGTTTCTAAAGAAAATAAATAGAGCTATACATGAGTGACCAACTGAATATTCATTGACTATTCTTAATGGTTGTTGTTGGAAACACATAGTAATAAACATACATCTTTATTTATTTATGAAATAGCACAGGAACAATACAAACATTACAGAGTTATGGACAGATTAGTAGGAAAATATCAATGGCTGCTGTAATATATGGTGGTATCTTCAAAGTGGTTTCTCAGGAAGACAGAGATACACAAGAAAGATCTAACAAGTACTTACAGCCTAACAGTTGTGAAAAATAGCACATTACCTCCTCACCAGTGACTCCTTTCACTGAGGTGTGATGGCTGGAAGGCCGGCCAGGATTGAAAAGGACCGAGAGACTTGCACCTGTGTCTAGCAACAGGCTGTTTTCTTTTTCCTCTATAGACATGATTATCTGGGGCTCTTCATGGAGATGAGAGTCTGGCCACAGGGAGAAAGTAGAGTAAGCCCCAGGCCCCCTCATTCTTATTAGACTAACTGGTAAGATGCATCTGAGCTTTGGGGCCTCCACTTTAGAAGGCAGACCAATCTCCAGTGGTCACCTTTGCATTCAGGGCATGGCCCATGGGGCTTCTGAGGGCACTCCCTCTTGAGGTGGCCTGGCTTTTAACAGTGGTAGCTGACGAATGTAGTCATCGAGTTCTTGGAGCCCTGAGAATCAGACTTAGGGTCTGTTTCTCTTGGTACTGCAGCAAAAGCAGCTTTTTCTCAGTCTCTTTGTTTTCTCTCCTTGGCCTCCTCGTCAGGGCTATAGAATATTGAGGAGGCAGTTCTTACTATCACCTTAAGTGAGCCATCTGGGGCAAAAGCCATTTTTTATAGCTTTTTCTCTCCAGCCTCCCAGAACACAGACCCCGCAACCACTTAATGTCCTCTCCCCAACCATCAGCACAGGCAGCAGGTATCTCAGTGCAGACATCTCCAGAGCTCCACGCGCTCCTCCACTGCAGCCTGTACTGTCAGGGGAAAATGGCTTCCAGGGCATCTCCCCAGGTATTGCGCAAGGTCCTCCTGGTTTCCAACTTCAGAATGGCTCTCGTGATCCCAGTCAACTACACCCCTGAGTCTTTGGGCGTAGTCTGTATTCTCGTGTTCTCCGAGTCCTTGTTCAGCAGCTGCTCCTCCACTGACTCTGAACCTTTCTGGTTCTCAACGGCAGGGACAAGAGCGACCTGTTGCGTAGCAAGTATTCCCAGGGGTTTCTACATGTAGGGATGATGCATGCACGTCCTCCAGCAGGCATCCGTAGCCAGCGCGTGGTGGGCCAATTGTGTGATTGCTTCTCTGTGCCATGAAAGTTCTTGACCACACAGCGGCGGCTGGCCTGAGGTTGGGCGCGTGCTGACGCACAGCTTCCTGGACACTGGCTGCCCACCTCCTGGGCGCCCGCATGGCTGGGGTTCCGGCCGAAGGCTGGAGCTCCCTGTCGCGTGGCTTTCCAGGCGCAGGCAGCCCGCCTCCTAGGGGCCTGCACGGCTAGGGTCTGGCCCAAAGGCCAGAGCTCACTGGTAGCACCTTCAAGAAGTGACTAAATAATGTAGCAAAAAACTTGCAACACCTGCTCCTCAAAAGACTTCATTTTAATAAAGGTCCTCTGTCCAAATCCCTCTGAGGTGATTACATTAATGACAACTCTCAAAATGTTATCACTGTTTGTAGAAAAGGACTTAGGACAGCAAGCCTGAGGCCACGACTCAGAAACACCTGTGTGCAAGGGTGGTCCTCCTTGAGCAGGCGGGCCCTGAGATGGGGGGCCGTTTCCACCATTCCCTGACAAGGCAGGTCATGTACCTAAACCTGTGCTACCAAAGTGGCTTACGCGGAACCTCTGCCTTCCTTCTAGGAGTGTGAGTTGTGTGTGTGCCAGGCGGAAGGTACCAACATGACTATCACCATTAAAACTCCTTGATATCATGTCTCTAACATGTGTGTCCTCTAGGTAACACTTCACACACCGTCACAACTCATTACTGGAGGCATGAAAACCGCCTATGATTCCAGTGGAGAAAGTCTCAGAAGCTTGTGCAGGTTCTTACAGACTTCCCGTGCTGTTCCCTTCAGACTTTGCTTTGTATTTTTACTGTAATAAGTATATGCATTAAGTTCAGCTATATACCAAATCCTGTGAGTTCTAGTGAGTCACTACCAATGGGGCCGACCCCCAACACAATCACAAAATGACTTAGGTAAAGGCAACTTACCTAGGTCGCCCTACATAGTAATGAAGGTGGAGAAACTTAAGTTTAATAGCTTAAAATATTCAAACTAGTACATTCTCTTCTATGAATTAAATTAGCATTCTTGTAAACCTGATATATGGCTTAGTAGCAAAAGTGACACAGCTGTCTCGGAAGAAAGTTCAAAAGTGAAGACAGAAACAAAATATAAAATGGTGTATGGCATAAATTACAATGTTTAACTCACACCGTGGTCACCCTGAGTTTTCCCTTCTCCCTCTACTAAAAACTTAGGCATGAATACATTGTTATGAATCTGCAAAGCAACTACAAAATATGGAATGATCTCTGGAGGCCTTATAGATAAATTAGTAAAGGTTAAAGTATTATTTAAACAAGTATACATAGAAAAGTCCAATTATAGAGGTGATAAAAGAGTAATACAAATGGAAAGAAGAGTCGGCTGACCTATATGAAGTCAGATAATTAGTGACAGAGGCAAAGGTTAACGCTGGTATCTTGGTTCCTTATCCATTACTTTTCCCATTACTAATTATTTTGCTTTTTGTACAGAAGTAAAGCTATGAAGGGAATGATAATGCTAGTGTTACAAATATCACCGGACATTACTGCTATACTAATTTATTAGTTTTCTCAATTTATAGTCCAACAATTCATTATTCAATAGATAGTAAAAACTTCAAAATTTAGAAAAGAAACATCTTCAGAAAAGAAAGATTCTACAGATTAGGTACTTGGTTGTTTCTGTTGGTAACAATGACTTACTTTAGAATTTGAAGATATTAGAAAATAAGTTTAAAATGGTTTTAAAGACTAACTCTCTTTCAAAAGTGACATGCTAATAATATATTAATTTGTATAAAGCACATTTTTAAACAATTTAAAGATTTAGTGACGTATCCAAGTCATGCTAGTAAGGTTTCATTTAGCTACTCCATTTATGAAATCATATTTAGTCTAAGAACTACTAGACAATATATAATGGAGGGACCATTTGCCCGCTCCTTCAAAAGATACTCAAATGATAAATTATGTCCTTACGTTTAAGGACAACTGTCACAGGTAAAGGTTTTTCTTCTGAACAGCAGACATTTCTAATTAATTTTAAATCTAAGAGAACAAACCCAAGTTTCACTTAAATCCCACAAAAAGCAGAGAACTCTCACCACGGTAAGATAATTGAGAAACAAGCGGCCCAGTGGCCTCTGATGTCAGTCAAGAAGTGAGAACAAATAATCAAGAAGTGTATAAGCTAAAGGTGAGACTGACCAAAAAAGAAGTAAGAGTTAGTGAGGAACATATCAGGTTGCATTTTGGGAATTTATGTGACTTCAAATACAGTGTCTTTTTAACAGTTACAATTTGAAAAGATGTGATAAACTGATCATCTAAAGGAGGATCTGAGACAAAGCTCCTGTATGAATGTATGGTGAAAGTGCGCACTGCCACCTAGTGGTGCTCCACCAAATGCAGCAGATCAATGACTGCTCTGAAATGTACTAGATTCCACATACGATTATCATAATGACAGAGAAAGCAAGGTAACTGCTCAACTGCAAGACAAAATATTAAAACATTTACTAATAATTATTTGATTATTATATACATAACATATACATTAAAAAGCACAAAACTACTGGCCAGATTAGCTATATAATTTTGTCTTTTAGCAAGACTTTGAAAAATATTCAGTGAAAAAAGTCTGGAAGCACTACATGAAAGAGTTAAAAGTAAAAATTTAAAACCAAGCGGATCCTCAGGGAAAAGAGACTCTACTTCCTAAGTGACTGAGAAGAGGGACAATAAAATCGTGAGATACCACTGTTACACAGAGAACTTCTAAAATCTACTGTAGAGAAAGAACCTGAATGTTTTATATGGTTTGTACAATTGCTACACAGTTTAAACTTGTGTTACTTTCTCCAAAGCTTCTAAGGTCACCACTAGGAAGCCTTCTCTTTTGTTACTCAATACATGCTCAACAAATGCAAAATAATTTAATAAAATCAAAAAGGGATCAACATGCTGTGTGTACCATCAAGAAAAAAATGTTTTAACACTGCATTAAAAGTTCAAATATGAATGATATGACATCACTGCTTCTGCCTTTGCTTCCACCACACACCGGTTGTCTATCTTTTTTTCTTTTGGGTTTTTTTTCCGGCACCAGGAACCCAACTCACGACCTTGCGCTTGCCGGGCAGGCGCTGTGCCACTGACGTAAATCCCCAGCCCCAGCCCCAGCTCCCACCCCCACCCCCACCCCCGGCTGCTTATCTTGAGACATGTTATTTATCCTCTCTAGGTGTCCGTTTTTCTTCCAGAACCATCTTAGCACAGTGGTTAAAGGGCCAGGCTCCGGAGTGAGGTCACTTGAGGTAGAATCCTGCTCCAAAACGTACTAATTACGTGGCTGTTATAGCTTATGTCTAGGTGTATGTTCAAAGCCTCAAAAGGTCATAGGTGGGGCTTTTTCAGAGGTAGCTGGATCTAGAGTGTGTGATGCTGGGATTAAGGATGTGTGATTATTACATTAGTCCACTGTTCATTTTGAATAGCTCTGACTGTGGATTAAGGGAAGGTCCACCCTGGGTGTGATTACCACTGTCCTACAGGTGTGCAGCCTAGATAAAAGAGAAGAGACAGAAAGAGGGTTTGCTGTTTGTCTTTTGTCACTTGCTATTTTGTTGCTGGCTACTTTCTGCCTGCCCTGGGTTGCCATGTCCTGTTTCTCCTCTGTGATGCCCCACTGCCATGCCACCCTGTTTTAGAGCCAGTCAACTATGAATTAACACCTCTACAAACTGTGAGCTACCATAAATCTTTCCTTCTTCAACTCTGGATATCAGGTATTTTGTCTCAGCAATGAGAAAAAGTAACTAAGACAGTGACCTTAAGCAAATTACTTATCTGTGTCTATTTCCTCATCTGTAAGATGGAGATAATAGTAGCTATTTCAGAAGGTTGTTGAACAGTGTTTGGCAGGTAGTAAATGACTACTAAATAGAAGATACTATTAGAATTATTATCAGTATATCTTCATTCTGATAACTAATAGTTATTGAGCACTATGCTATGCAATTTGATTATATCATTTAAGCCTGAGAAGAGCCCTATATTATTATGCCCAAAAGACATAATTTAAATATGTACAATAAAGGAAAATCTGTAAAAGACAAAGTATATATAATACGTGGCAGATGGTAAACACTACGGAAGGTAGCCATTAAAGATTTTAAGAAGGAGAGCCAGAGGGAGAAGGAAGGGGGCTAAAACCAAAGTGAAGAAATATCATGTCCATGTACCAACTCCCCACAGTGAATGTAGTCATTATGTACAAACGTGTACCAATAAAAAATACATAAAAAAATACAAAATTTTAATAAGGTAAATAATAAAATTTAATACAGCAATAGTTGGTGCATGCTTTTATCCCAGGAAAAGAAACTTAAGGACAAAACCAGAAAGTAATTGATCTGTTTCAAGCAAAAAATACTTAACAATCACTAACAGTCAACATACAGTAAAAACTCTGTATTATGTATATTTCTCCCAGAAGAACAATTCTAAATTCTGATGAGAAGATTCGAGATGCTTAAAAACAACAAAAAACAAACAATAGGCGTGTTCTTTATTATAATGAAGGTTACTGGAGCAATGGTCTTTCCCTTCATAAAGTCAGGGACACTCATTTAAATGTGATGAAAGCTATATAGATCTTCTCTTCAGGAAAAAAGAATGTAGACAAGGATAAAATTTAGTGCATGATTTGTGGGAGGGTTTATACAATCTGGGATGAGAGCATCTGCCTTAGAGATCTGGGAATTTATCCTTTATATCTCTGATATTCAATACTAAAATAAATGAACTCATTGCACCCTACCTGCTCCCTATCAAATTAACGAAGGCTGTGTGCAGCTGTGAGTTCTAAACGCACAAGCAGTGAGTGTGCATTTTCAATGTGCTTCATATAACAAGCACGGAGTATTTTGCAATAAGAAGATAAATCTTAAAGAAGGAAATTAATAAATATGGTAGATAAAATTTAATGTTTTTAAGAAGATTTTAAGACAATAATGTACCATTTCTAAACTTGGGCAATTTTTTTAGCACAGAATTAAGTACTTCACACTACGCATTCTTCCTTCATATTAGATAAAATTTAATGTTTTTAAGAAGATTTTAAGACAATAATGTACCATTTCTAAACTTGGGCAATTTTTTTAGCACAGAATTAAGTACTTCACACTACGCATTCTTCCTTCATATTAGAACAACAACATAAACAGTTAAAAAAATAATGTTTCCATTATTCATGAATGGAATTAAAATTCACCTGACATTCATGAATTAAAATAAGAATATCAAGTTTCAGTAGTTGATCAAAGACATAAAATATTAATGTATGGAACATATCTCTACAAAAATTAAACTGTAACCGAAAATCTTTTTAGTCAGTAATCATGAAAGAGCTTACCATTTGGGGGGTCTCGTCTTTTCTCTGTTAGAAAATAAATTATAATATCGTTAGACTTGTATAATGCAAACACCAATAAAAAAATTAATTCACTTAAATCCTGCCATATTCTTAAAACAATTTACAGGTTACAGAAGGTTTTTCTGAAAAACTGACACCTAAATAAAGTAAGGAAGGGAACAACATATTCAAAGGTCTAAAAAAGCCAGCATGAGAGAACCTGTAAACATTAAATGTTATAAATATGATCTAAAAGTAAGAGTAATAACAATAATGAAAATGGGGACAGTGGATCTGGAGACAGAAGTGGGTGGGGAGGGTAAAGGGAATAAAAAGAATCAAGGTGTATTATGTACATGTACCTATTCCCTAAGATGAACATAAACTTCATGTATAGCAAGCACATACTAAAAAGCAAAAAATCAAATCACTTTTTGCTCATGACACTGTTCTTACAACACTGCCACAACCAGAAGTGTCACAATAGAAATAGAGAAGAAAAGACTGGACTGGAGTGCAAGGAGACAAGTCAGGAAGGTCAGGACTGGACCATCGAGGGCCGCGCCATCCACAGTCAAGGACGACAGATTTTATTCTGAGTATGACAGAAAGCACTTCTGGGGCTGTCAATGGGGAAAGGACATGACTTCATCTCCGTCTAGATGGCTGCTGCGGGGAAGAGGGAGCAGGGGACAGTGTGGCTGCAGAGTCTGGCCAGGAAGCAGGCTGCCACTGACTCGGTGTGAGCCTGGGTTCAGATGGTGACAGCAGAGGTGGCAAGAAATGGTCACAAGGCTGTTTTTGAAGAAAAAGGCAACAGATAGGATTACGAGGGAACACAGTGAGCTTCAGTAGTGCCACAGGCTAATGCCTGTTACTGAGATGGGGGAGAACAGCAGTGGAGCAGAACAGGTCTGGGGAGGACTGAGGGTAGGGTGGGGCTGGGACAGGCGACAGGGACCCAGTGTTCTGCTGCTCAGATGAGCTAATAAGTCTGAGAAGGTATTCTGATACCCAATTTGGTATACAGTGTGCAAGTAAGGAGAGAAGTCAACAATGAGATAAAACTATAGGAGTCATTAGCATATACATGTTTTTCAAAGCCATGGTATTAGAAGAAAGCACACACAAAATGAAAATAACTAGGGAACTCTGAGTGCTGAGACAGGCCAGAAAATGAAAAGCTACAGACAAGCCAAGGTTTTTTTGGTGTGGTATGACCTCCACAGTCAGCTACATTCCCACCCTTTTCTTTTAAGACAGGGTTTTGCTAAATTGCTAATTGCCTGGGCTGGGCTTAAACTTGCAGTCTTCCTGTGTCAGCCTCCCAGACCGCTGGGGCTATAGGCATGCATCACCACGCCCAACTGAAAACCAGGAATTGTATCAATTCTCTACATGCATGGTTGTATATCAGGTTTGTAAAGAGCAAGATACTATTTGGCCTTAGAAATTTCAGAAGAGATTGAAGGATGTTTTAAAAATGTCATTTCTATAGATCCTTTAATACAACATTTTCTGAGTACTCGTAACTACTTGATGAAATAATTAGTTTATAATAAATAACCACAAAACAAAATCAATAGGACTTAGTGGGCAAGTTAAAAACCTTAGCAATGTGAAATGTGGATGTATTATTTTATTTGGTGAATAGATGGAGTGACTTCTAGAAACACAAAGTGAGCAAGTCCTCTCTATGTCAATGACTGTCAATTCCTAGTTTCTAAGGTAATGTTTTCTCTGATTCTAGAAAGGAACTATTTCTTAAGCTAGTGGATGACACACACAAAGTATGGGAATATAGTGAAATAAGTAAAGGTTCAGAATGTAAGTTCTAAGAAGGAATTACTTAGATATACTGACTTAATAATCATTCATGTGACATAGAGGAGCATGGATTGAATAAAACAAATCGGGAACTAAAAGTACAGTGTTTAATCAAATTCAGAAATGTTTTACTATCACAGTACTAGTCAGACATATTTGAAGTTCAAATCTAAACACCATATTTTGAAAACACATAATACCTAGAGTGGATTCAGAGTATAGTACTCAGGATGTTATGTCTAAAAGCTGTATCATAGGAACAGTTTAAGACAATGGATCTAGTTAGGTGAAAGAAGAGAAAGCATAAAGAGAACATGATAGCTCCCAAAGTTACACAGCTATAAGTGAGAAAATAAAAACTCAAATAATTTGTTCCCCACAAGATGGACCCATGTACCTAAATCACAGAAAATTGAAAATGGAGTTTGATTCAGCATGCAGGGCTACAAATGATGATTAAGCCACCTCTGATGTTATGATCCTTCCACTACTGAAACAGTGTCTAAAGTTGAGGAACTCTACACAAGAGAATTACTATACCAGGTAAAAGACCTTTAACTTATCCACTAATTTCAAAGCCAATTTTTTTTGTTGTTGTTGTTGTTTTTCCGGTACTGGGAATGGAACTCACGACCTTGCGCTTGCCAGGCAGACGCTATGCCGCTGAGCTAAATCCCCAGCCCCAATTATTTTTATTTTAAAAAGTATTTTTATTCTTTTTCACACATAAACAAAGTGTATTAAAAACGTCACATTTTGACTGAGAGGAGCCCCAGAAAGCCCTTGACCCAGCACCATAGTGTGACACTGAAATAGGTACTGAACCATAATTATCCCAAGGTCAAGGTTTAAACAGTGAGTATTAAATTCTTTCCTAGCATGGAATCAAACTGCAAACACCTCTGACCCCCAAAAGAAACAGATCCTACCAACTCTCCTATTCCCTTATTTTAAGTAGAATATAATAAGATGGCAATAGTGAAGCAACAAGTTGGTTTACTCTACTTTCACTTTTATCTCACCATCCTCTCACCTAGAAATCAATAAAGATGTGCAAAATGAAATACATGCTTTTACACCTCTGTTTTGCAGATTCCATCTTCCTTATCTTGGCCCATTCTCTCTTATTATTAAAGACTGCATACAATGATCTTCAAACTATGTATTCCAGGAAGTACAGAAAGACGTCAGAGTATAGGGCATGCCTAGTTTTGCAGGATCTGTTTGCCAGTCTCAATTCCAGAATATTACCCCTCATAAAACTGATTGCTTAAGATATGATTTTGGAGAGGCTCACATTTCCTAACCACCCTTTTCTACTTTTTCCAGAGCAAAGCTTGGTATACCTGTCAAATAACAGTCCTATACCAATTAATCTAAAGTTCTACATTATCCTTCATCATTTTCTAAGTGTTTTATGTAAGCTACGGTTGTTTCATGCATTAAGTTCCACATGGTTTTACAGTAAGAGAAACAAAGCCATGTTTACAGATCTTGTTTGTAATTCTACTTATTTGCTTCTAAGCTTGCCTATAGTATTTGTGAACAAAAAATGAAACACTAATAAATTTAAATCACAATGACATTAATACTGCAAAATTAGATTCAGTAAACACTGAATTACTAGAATGAGTCAATAAACATGAAAAAAACAAATTCTCAATGAAAATATTGTGAGGTAGGAGTCACCAAACTCATTTTGGAAGGTATGGGATAGTAAATATTTTAGGTTTTCAAGATCATACAGTCTCAGTGTTGTAGCACAAAAGTAGCTACAGACAATAATGTAAATTAATGAATACAGCTGGGTTTTAACAATGTTCAGGTTCAAAACCAGCCAGTGGATACACCTGTCCCATGAGACTTAGTTTGCTGGTCCATCTCAAGTAACTATAAAAAGGAAAAGAAAAAAATGGAGGTGTTACCAGATTTCCTTTGTCGCCGGCTCAACAGGTCTGTAACTGCTTTTCGAAACTTTTTTGCTTCTTCTTCATTGGCAAAATTAAGAGCAACTTGACAAGTCTGAAACATTTCCATTAGTGAAAGCAAACAACAATTAGTTTTATCTAACAAAAATGATGAACAAAAGTTACCTAAAACAGCACACAAATGACAAACTGAACACTTTATTTTTCAAAAAAATAAAATAGTAAATTGAATTAGATCTTTCAACAGGGGTTTATAAACAATCTGGATTAGAAAAGGCAAGCAATGGAAAATTTCAACACGGCAATCAAAGAAAATGTAACTTACATCTCCAGCAAAAGTATGAAAATATCCTCTAGGACTATTATATACAAAGTTATTGTATAGTTCTTGTTCCCACAAAAGTTTCCCATCCTAAAAAAAGGAAAAATTCAAATAAGAGCTACAAAAAACAAACTCTCCAGGAATGAAAGCATAGTAACGTAGTTATCTATCTTAACTTTTATACATTATGACATATATTTGTAATATGCAGCTAATATCACATGACAATAACTTCTTAATAACAAACCATTAAATGCTAGCTAACATTTTCTTTCATAAAACCTACATATCAAATGAGTTTAGTTCAGTAAGCTAATATAATTAATGGGCTAATTCTGAATATAGGTACTAGTTCAAATATTTAACTAGAATAATTACTAGATTATCAATGTCACATTGAAGAAAGAAGATAAGCACAGGTTACCAATTCATAGTTCCATCAGTAATAGATTATGTACCATCAAATATTATAGGAATATTTTATATTCTTTTTCTTAATTTTATAGATATGGACAGGTCAAATATACCTTCTCGGTACTCCTCACTAACAATCTTCAAATTCTTAACTTATGCAGAATGGCCTCTTAGTTAAATACTGGTATAAGCAATAGGAATCAAGATACAGAAAGAGACTGATGATTAAAACACATCAAGGTTAAACTACAGGCCAGGTATGGTGGCACACACCTGTAATCCCAGCACTCAGGAGGCTGAAGCAGGAGGATCATTGCAAGTTCGAGACCAGCCTGGGCTACAAAGTGAGCTCAAGGTCAGCCTGAACTGCACAGGGAGACCCTGTCTCAAAAAGACAAAGAAAAAAAAAAAAAAGAAACTACAGATAAGAGCCATAGCTTATGCCTATGTCTAAAGCCATAGTATAAGAATATATTTAACCTTCATAGGAAAGGCAGCTAATTGTGAAATGTTCTGCAGTGATTATCTCCAAATGGAAATATGTGGTTAGAGAAACTAGTAACTTCCCTATTTGTAATACAAGGTTCTATTTATATAACAATTTTAAAATATGAAAAATATATTGTAGATATATTATGATCACTATAATGGAATTCCTTTAGTCTCAGTGGAGTTGTATTGTATCTCTAAATAGTGATGAAGAATCTATCAAGGGCAGTGAGGGTGAACTTTTTAGAGCTTTCAATGATAAACAGCCCCCACTGGCATCTTTGCCACTAGTAACTTAGGGGTTTGTTTCGAACTATAGATGTGTTTCCATTTCCCAGAATCACTGCCACAGTAAGCCATTGCTAGTAAAAGGAGGAACATGTTGCACCTCTCATCTGAATTGGGGTTCATGGAAATAGATGTTAACAAGCATCAATTTACAAAGTACAGTAACTTAAACTTCATTTAAGTTTTAAAAGCTGAAAACCAGAGATATAAAAAAAACAGGTCCATGATCTAGCCGATTTTATTAGTGCATAGCTGAATGTCAGTTTTAATTTTCTATAATTAAAATCCCATTCTACTATTGCCACATGTAAATATTAACTATGGAGGTTACAGAAAGATTTAAAAAGATACAATAGACTCCTCACCTCAGCAAAATGAAAATTACATTTGTGGTAACTATAAGAGATAAATACCTGATAAATGGTATCCAATCTAAGACAATGTGGCTTTATAATTAAAAATGAGGAATATAAAGCTATAAAAATTTCAATGTTCCTATGGTAAAAGAAAAAACAAGGAAAACGGACAGAAAATGCATTTTTATAGATATTATATAATGTTGTAAGCTTGGCCTGAAGTAACAGCATATACAAAATTAAAACAGTCTTTTATTGTTCCTGGCAATGACTACATATGCTAGTCTATAATGGATAAGATGGAATAAAAGAGTACCACTGGGAAAAACAAAAAGAACCTAAGGAAAGTCCGGGATCAAAAGGAGTCATTTTTTAAAAAGTCTTTCATTCACAGTTGCAGTGAAGAGATACAAGTACCCACAGTAGTCTCCCATTATCCATGGGTCACATTCCAATATATTCCACAGATGCCTAAAACCTCGGATAGTATCTAAGACCAAAGACATTTTGTATTCTTCCTATACATACACACTTACGGTTAATTTATGAACTAGGACAGCACTTCATAGATTGCACAGTAAGAGATTAACAACAGTAATAAAACAGAACAGTTATACTATAATAGAATTTATGCATTATTTTAGTAATTTTTCATTTAATAATTGGTACTATAGTAGAATATATGAATTATTTTAGTAATTTTTCATTTAATAATCAGGACAGTGGCTGATCACAGATAAATGAAACCACTAAAAGCAAAACCACAGATAAGAACAAACTTCTACACTCATTTTTGGCTTAAGATATACTCCCATTTGGTCCCAAGACCAGTACTTCAGTATCTAAATTTCACTATTTAGGTGCAATTTAAACACTAAATACAGGGTAAATAAATACATCTATATTAAATTACAATGGGGCAGAAATTCAGATTAAAGTAAAAGCAAGGCAGAACTCACCTTAATGTCAAATATTCTTAAAAAATAAGATCTCTGAGGATTGTCCTTAACAAGACAAGCAACACCACTGCACTTCTTTGACCACATACAGTTCCGATCCGCAGCATACAACTGTACCACTGCAGAAGACATAGTCTGCAAAGCATAAAATTTATAGCCATCAGTTTCAAAGTAACACTCAGATGACAACACCCCTTCTGATACTTTAACCTCAACCTTATGAGATACACCAAACCAGGACCACCTAACTAAGTTACCCCTGAACTGCTAGTTCCCAGAAACAAGGAGGTAATACACATTTACTCTTATTTTAAGCCACTGCTTTTCAAAATAATAAATACAATAACCATGTAACAAATTATTAAAAATTAGGATTTACTGACAAATGTGTCAGGAAATGTGCTAAACATTTGTAAACATAACCCCATTTAACTGTTATTGCTACTATAATCTCATTCTGCACCTGAGAAACCTAACACTTAAAGAGGGTTAGTAATTTACCCAGTATAATAGTAAATGGTAGAGATGAAACTCCAGTCCAGGCAATGCATGATTTCAGACCCTATATTACTTTTTGTGTTATTCTGTACCCAATAAAGTGAACATTTGGTATGGCTCAGTTCTGAAAGACTAAAGACTCATGTGTTCAGAGGTGGGACTTTCAGAAAGTGCCTGTACCATGGGAGTGCTACCATCATCAATGGATTAATTCACTGAGTTCCTTACTGAATGTACTTTAAGAGGAGGGACCCAGCGAGAGGAGAAGGTGGGTCACTAGGGGTGGACCTTTGGAAAGTGGTTCTTGCCCTGGCTCTTCTCTCTCTCTGCTTCCTGCTGTCAGGAATGAGCAGACTTGTTCCCCTGGGTCCTTACTTCCGCGATGCTCCTGATTTACAAACCATGTACTGAAACCTTTGAAACGGTAAGCAAAATAAACCATTTCCTCCTTTAAATTGTATAGGCCAGGTACTCTGGTTTCAGCAGCAAGAGAGCTGATCAATACAACATTTAAGCAATGAATTAGTTAAACACTTCACAGTGCAAGAACTAAATCAAACTTAAAAGCAAGATTTGTAGTTACTACTTTTAGGTATTTCAAATGTATTATCTTTCAGACGATAGATTAAAAAATACTTTTAAGGGGCTGGGGATTTAGCTCAGCAGAAAAGGCGCCTGCCTGGCAAGCACAAGGTCCTGAGTTCGGTTCCCAGTACCAGAGAAAAACCAAAAATAAATAAATAAATAAATAAATAAAATATTTTTTAAAAATTGTAAAACTGAGGGGGAAAAGGATTTTAAGTGATTTACACAAATGCCCACATGGTTTAAAGACTATATTGAGGATATGAAAAATAATTTGAGTGACTACCATCTTGATTTCTCTAAAAATACTATCTAATTAGAACCCTCGCAAATGCACAGGAGAGAGGCTAGCTCATTACATGCGCTAGACACTCTTGGTATACGGGTTTTCTAGGATATCTTGCTGCCACCCAGAACAAATATCATGAAACAATGGAAACTCCCACTTCATTCTAAATTAAGTTTCTTTTTTGATATAGTTTAGAATGTAACTATTTAAACTGTTTTTGTAAAACTGTTTTCGTAAACACACTTTACTGATAGGGCTCATACAAAGCCTCAACAAAAGTAATTTTTCTGGGCCAATAATATTCCTAAACTAAAATTAAGGAAATAATTTGGATAAATTAAAAAGTGACTTTGAATAAAAATATAAAAAGAAAATATTATGAATATATACTAATCATGGGTTTTAAAAAAACATAGGATCAGAATCAGAATAATCAGAATCAGAAGCTGATATAATTATGGTACCCTAGTTCACTAAAACCTGGGCATTGTGGTAAAATACATTAAAATTTGGAGGTTATATTTTGAGTATACTTAACTATGTGTGGGGACTGCCCTCCTTTGCTAAGAGGATTCCTTGGAATTATATACACAAATCTTATATAGTACTAAAATCAGAAATGTACGTTGAGCATACTGTTACGAATCAAAAGATCATAAAGACTTTCCCAGATAACAAAGAATAATGCTGTTTTAAGTTTTTACAAACCAAATACATCTTTGAATTTTACACCCAATCATGAACAGAACACAAAGCAAAAGGAAAATTTACACAAAAGCTATCAAAAATCACGAAGATAACTTAGAAATGTGGAACATGTTTATACTACCAGGGTGAGTTGAAAATCACAGACTGAAGAAGGTGAGTACGTACACCTCTGGCCTGTTCCAGAGTGTTTCTCTGCCAAGTGCTCCACTACAAGATGGCAGCCTGTAGGCTTCCTGCCTCTCAGCCCCTAGCACTGAAAACTTCAGGAAAAAGACGGATTTTGCATGTAATTAGCTAAAGGAATCAAATACCATGCTCAAGACCTAAAAAACCAGATGTTAAGAATCTGTGTTCTGATGAAAATTCATGTAAATGACTGTGCTTTTAGTATACAGCTCTCAAAATGTATGACTTTCTGAAAAGAAAAACATGGTAAGAAATTAGATGCCAAGACAAACATCTAAAAATCTCCCTACTTTTATTTTTTAACCAGAAGTCAAGAATTAGTAGTGTAGGAAAGAAAAGTGTTATTTAGACTCTGAAATTTTATTATGAAAATACCCTTCCTAAAAGTTCAAAAATTAACATAAATCATCTGGATATAGAGAATGGAAAGGAACAAAAACTAAAAACCTACATTTAAACATTTATATAAATTTAAAACAAAGTTTTAAAACATCTGTTTAGGAAATAAAGACAACTATTTTATAGTGTTTTCACACAGACACAGTTTGGCATTCGTTACAAACTTCATCCTAATACTAAAAGAAAACCCAGTATTCACAAGTAATTTTCGGTTACAAGCTTTTAAAAATTTGCTGCAATATTATTTCTTCTGTGTCTATTTCACTTCCTACCTTAATGTGGCGAAGCCTGAAAGGGACATCATAACGCCTTATAAAGTCTTTTCTGATTAATTCAGAAGTACAGTAATGACAAGCAACTTGTACACATTAACATTTAATATGTAAATGCCAGATATACAAAAACAGTAACTATCCTTTAAATTCCAAATTGACAGTATCTTAATTAAGTTTTCAAAAACATTCCTTCCATTCCTTTCAAGTAATTACAGCCAATCAACTATATTACTTCCTGTCTTTCATAATGAAGAAGATATGAAAAACAACCTAAGGAAAAGTGTTTAAAAGGAGAAAATTTTTAATAGCCCAATAATGTTAAGATTAAAACTTGCTAATTACAAATAGAAAAAAAGGTACTGTGCTAACTTTTGTAGACACATTCCCGACAGCTCATTACGGAGTAACTGCAATAACATACTCACATTCATGGTCAAGGACAAACGTAAGAGGGGAAGTGACTCCCTCCCAGTGTTCTTTGGCAGAGCACTTTAATCTCATCTTGTTTGACTTTGCATCAACCCAGTATTTTCCTGATTCTCGAGCTTGAAATGATTGCTTTTTCTTCATGTTTCTAGTCCATACATTTTTGTGTATCTCCATTATTGTTATGCCACAATCTTACTCTATAATTAATTTTTCTGTATTAATTTCTTATCCATTAAAAGAGATGCTAATCCTTTTAAGCACCTAAAATAGTTTTTAAATTCTATGCTTTCACTCCACCTATACTGTCTCCAACTAAACAAATATTTATTTAATTAAAAACTGCATGTGCTGATTTTAATAAGTATGATAATACATAAAAGAATGGCCTTGATTTTATACCGGGAAGTAATGTAATGGGGCATTATGTAATTTACTCTAAAATTACTCAGAAAAATATATATATATATTTTAGAGAGGTCTAGAAACAAGGTCAAATGTTATAAGCATTTGGCAAATCTAGATGTAAGATATACAGGAATTCTTTGTATTCTACTTGCAACTTCTCTGTAACTTTGAAATTATTTTAAAACAACTTGAAAAAACACATACGATTCATAAAAATGTTAAGACTCTTCTGTTCTCTTCCTAGTCATGGCTGTTTCGAGAAAGTAGCTCTCTTTACTGAGCCACTATACCTGTTCCGTACATCAGCCATGCCACAAGGACCCACACCTGAGAAAACACGGACTCACTGCTCCCTCCAACTGCTCCTACTCACACTCAGCGCTGTTGAAAGGATCTCCACTCCAAGACTCAACTTACAAACGTCACTTCTACAGTTCAAATTCTGTTCAGATTTTTGGAATAATCATGTTATGAAACAGGTCGAACAAGAATTTTATAATAGAAAAATAGGTGTTCCTTTGATTACAGACAATCAGATAATGATCAGGGAAGGACACTCACAAATTCTTAATTTTAAACAATGAACTCCCTATAACAAATACTAAGATGAAATAACACCATCTGTAACAATGTAATATTCAATATTATTAAAAGAAATATTTTAAGATAAACATTCAATAAATATCCAAAAGCAAATATGAAAAATTTTATTACTGAATAAAATAAATCTCTTCTATGATCACATTGGCTTACATGAAGAGTCAAACATTCCCAACTTTTGTATGTATGTGTCTGCGTACTGGGTCTCAAAATTTAAAAACTAATGGGGGATAACCTATCTTAAGTTTTTTCTTTACATAAAAGCCAAACTCCTAGCTGCACTCATGATAAATTCACATGAAATAACTCACTGTTATTTTGAACATGAAATTTTAGTCTATATTAGGCAGGATGGAAGAAATAAAACTAGGTAGAAAGGAGACTAGGGAATCAAGAATTTAAAATTATACTTTCAAGAAAAACTGCAGCTTCAAAACTTCAAAACTTTTCCTGCTTCTGGAGGCCACCCTACCATGCGACAAATCCCCCCCTTTCATTCTTAGAATAATGCCAAATGTCTAAAGGTCTTTTACAATAACCTGTAAATTCCTAGGTACTAGACCCTTTCACCTGCAAACTGCCCTTCCCTCCAGCCTAGAAAGCAGCTGAGGACTACAGAGCTTAACTTTAGTAACATGTAAATTCCCAGGCACTGAACTCTTTTCACCTGCAAATTGCCTTTTTCCTCCAGCCAGAAAGCAGGTGTGCTGGAGACCTGTCTAAGCTTTAAACTTATCCATGGTTTGCACTGTATCCTGGCACAGAGAAACCATACATTTGAGATT